GATCTTAGGCCCCAAACCAGAACCAACTATGGAATCTCTCTGTTCTCTGCTCCCCTGCCCCACTGGCGACTGAGCCCAGGACCCTACACACAGTAAAAATGCATGTCTGCCTGCCCTCTACCACTGAGTTGCATCCACAGCCCCCAAATCCATCTTCGCTTCTGATGAATTTGTCCGACGAACCCTATCAGCATATTCTAAAGACTTCTTTCTAAGCATGCCTGTTTGGACTGCGACCACCTGTGTGCGGCTAGGCTTGGGATCATCTCCTTCCCAGGACCGCGGGTACCCACGTCAGCACTCAAGACGCTGTCGTTCTGGAGCACTGTGGATCCGAGCTTAGTGACGATAGTCACACATGTCCCTACTCCCTGTCGGTCATCTTGATCTGGTATGTCTGCTCTGACCCCACTGCCAGGCCTCCTCGGCTGAACCGTCCTATTTATGCTGATGTGTGACTAACAAGTAGAACCAGAAAAAAAGGCACGTGTTTCTCTTTCATGTTTTCCTCCGTGTTCAAGCCAGAAGGGGATCCCAACAGGCCGTGGTTTTCTGATCTCAGTTTGGTTTGTCAGGACAAAGGATAAATTAAGATAGATGGAGTCAGGTGTGGTGAAAGCTGCCGTGAATATAAAAATGCTCAAATGATATTACATATGGGGGCGGGGACAAAGGGCTCAGCAGTAAAGAGCACTTGCTACTCTTGCAGAGGACTCAGTTTTGGTTCCCAGCATCCCTGTAGTGACTTAAACCATTTTGAAATATGATTCCTGGCAATCAGACACCCTCTTCTGGCTTCCACGGGCAACTGTATGCGTGTGGCACATGAATTACCACACATATACATTAAAAAAAATCTTTATAAACAAAAGCATACTAGTGTCCAAGGAATCACACAGTATGTATTTGTGCAAGGTCAAAGTCTCTTAAAAACCAACAAGAAAAAGAAAAATCATGGGGCTGGAGAGATGGCTGCAGTGCTGAAGAGGACCTGGGTTCAGTTCCCAGCACCCACATCTAGTAGCCAGCAACCAGCTGTAACTCCAGTTCCAGGGTCTCTGATGCCCTCTTCTGGCCTCTACAGGCACTGCACTTGTGTGTACATTTTACCCCAATACTTTCACATACTTAAAAACAAACAAAATGAAAAAAAAAAAAAGACCGATCATAAGGCCTGGATGGAGATGTAGCTCAACTCAAAACACAACATGTACCCTCTAGAAACTGCCACTGTTGGGCCATGGTCTCAGCGGTGTTGGTGACCATGGACTTTGTTTTTCTCTGTTGTCCAAGCTGGGTTCACTCCAGGTACAGGTTCGGAGAAACATACACAAAAAAAAATCTGAGCTATGATCACGGACAGAGCGCAGAGGCCACAGTCACTGCACCCACAGGCCTTTCTTTCCTACGTGCCGCTCCGGACACTGGGCTCTTATCCCTTATAGCCTTTCCCATCCGATTTCTTTTCTTTTTCTTCAAGACTATGTAGCCCTGGCTGTCCTGGAACTCATTCTGTAGACCAGGCTGGCCTTGAACTCAAAGATCAGCCTGCCTCCGTGTCCAAGTGCCTGGAATTAAAGGCATGCGTTACCACACTCAGCTTGCCCATCCAGTTTCTGTTAGGCCTCTTCCCAGCATAGAAACGCAACTGCTGTCAGGATCAGCAGCCTGGCCCAGTCTAACCCTCAACTCTTGATGGAGAAGGGAGAAGAAACATTCCAGTTGACTCTGGACTGAGAGGTCTCTTCTGTCAGTTAAGTCAAGCGTGGGGTAGACTGTGTAGGTGTGGCTAAGTTAACTGAATGAAAACAAGGACTGTCATCCCTATTTCAAAGGTGCAGAACATTCTGGAGGGGCAGGGATGGTTCTCACAAATGAGCCTGCTTACCTTTCGAGACACTCACACCCTGGGAAGTGGCAGGGGGAGGCATCTGAGCCACTGGGTTCCAATGCTGAGGCCCCCTCGGCAACACTCCTAGACCGACGTAACCTGGATAGAGTTCTGGAAACCACTCGAGTCCCACAGACCGGGGAAAAGCCTCTGAGTCCGAAATAGCAATGTGACTGATGAGGGAGCATTTAGACACCGGGTACTGAGCTGAGTATGACGGTACCTGGTACCCTGTCTGCGGTGCATGGGGTTGGCGGAAAGACACGGGTTCCAAAACGTCCCTCTTGTTTCCCACTAATAGTGTTATGGCAGAGACTTCTGGAGGAGACTTCACAACTGGAGAGGCGAGGCACTGATGCCCTGATTCTGGTACAGAGAGAAGCTTCCTCGAAGTTCCCTCTGGTGGAGTAAGTACGTTCAAAAGTGCCAGGGCCGCCTGTGTTTTTGCCTTTGTGGGTAAAATGGGGTCCTTATTATCATGGCCTGAGCAAGCTTGTGCCTGTGCTTCCATGGCAGACATGCTGTTCTCAGGATTTCTGTTGCGCTGGCGCAACTCTGTTCCGAGGTCAAGCTCCTGGTGCTCTCTGACTAGTGTTTTACCCAGTGGAGCGGGGTGAAGGTCCAAGAGGAGTGATTCTGACTTCTTTTGGGTCTCAGCATTGCCAGGGTAGGGAGAGACTTCTGAGACGTGGTCTCCATCTTGGGAACTGCTTTCCTTGTTCAATATCAAGGGTCGGCCTCTCTGAACCCCATGGTTGCTACTCTTTGGTGAATGACAATCACTAACAGGCACGTCTATTAATTTTGCCAGATGTTTCTGTCTTTGGGGATCGACTGTGTCCAATTTCAGACTTGCAGAAGTGGCCGGTTTAGCATGATGCTGAGTTGAGGAATATTTTTTACCTTGATCAGATAAAACTGGTTCCACCGAGCCAACCAGCAATCCTTCTGTTTCTGAGGGATGACACGAACCTCCCTTGGATCCAGTCGCATCTTCGCCAAGTTCTCTCTTGGGAGAGGTGGCCTCTGATGCATGAGACTGAGGGGTTGTGACTCTCTGCAGAGTCACCTTTATCTTGGAGTGACTAAGAACTTGGAAGGGGGGCTGGTTTTGATCACTGGTTTTTCCTCCTCCCTCTGTTGTACCCGCTCTTTCCAGGACACCCGCTGTCAGTGGAAGGGTGGTAGCTGTCCATTCTGGGCTGCCCTTTTCTGAGGGGGCATTTCTTTTTGTACCCTCTGTCTCTTGCTCTCTCCTTTTAGCTCTGGTTAGGTCTTTGGTAGGCCTCGCCTCTTTTTTAGCATGTGAAAGTGAAGCTGGCTTGGACTGATAAACTTTTTGATCAGCAGATATGGGTGGTCCTATCATCTTACAGTGTGGCAAGTGGGATTTCAATCGCTTAAATGGCTTCTTACAATAAGGACACACCTCCATCCTGGGGCCAGCATCAGCCATCCTCTTTCTGGGAAAACAATGAAGAACACAGGTAATCATTTTATGCATGAATTTTAACTCCTTATTTTGTTTGCTTTTCTTGGCTCAATGGTTAAGAGCCCTGGCTGCTCTTCCAGAGAACCTGGGTTCAATTCCCAGCACCCACATGGTGGCTCACAACCATCTATAATGAGATCTGGCGCCGTCTTCTGGCGTGCAGGAGGAACACAACATAATAGATACATCTTAAAGAAAAGAGATCTTGCCAGGCGGTGGTGGCGCACGCCTTTAATCCCAGCACTTGGGAGGCAGAAGTAGGTGGATCTCTGTGATTATGAAGCCAGCCTGGTCTACAGAGCGAGTTCCAGGACAGGCTCCAAAGCTATACAGAGAAACCCTGTTTCAAAAAACAAAAACGAAACAAAAGATAGGCTCTTGTAAAGCCCAGGCTGGCCTCAGATTCACTCTGGTCTACGAAGTTCCAGGAAAGCCAGAGTTACGTAATAAGACCATCTCAAAATAAATATATAAATAAAAATAAAAAGACCCATCACCAACAAAACAAAACCAACAACAATCCCACCCCAAACAATAACCACAACAAAACTAAACCAAAAGATTTATGTCTAATAAACGAATGCTTAGCCAATGGAAAAGACATTAAAAATGTCAGCCAGAATTCAATTTTGTTATTTATGCCAAGTGGAGGTTACATAAATATAATGAAATTGTTTAAAAACCCTTAAACATTAGAAGAGGAACTCCTTAGGGCTTTTAAGAGCAGTTAAGTATTGCGGGATATTTGATCTCAGTGTGTAGCCTTGTCTGCCCTGGAACTCGCTAAGCAGACCAAGCTGGTCTTGAACTCACATAGACTGGCTTGCCTCTGCTTCCCGAGTACTGGGATTAAAGACTTGTGTTAGTATGCCTGACCTCTACAAGACCCCCATGTTTGTGGATCACTATTCACGTGTTTGGCAGAAACTTTGAACGTCAACTTCTATAAAGATTAAAACTGGAGAGCTGATGCAAAAGGTGGCCAAGTACTGACTGATTCCTATACAAATAACTGGATTATGCCCCTGGCAGATAACTGGGGATGCTTCTGAAAATCAGAGTCAAAACTTCCCCAAGTATCCCGGGCCCAGAGTACACTTATTCGAAAAAATAAAACAAAACATTCAAAATCCGAGACAAGGTCTCAAGTAGGCCAGGCTAGCTTCGTTTTACAATCGAAAATGACTTTGACCTGCCGGTCCTCCAACCTCCACCTCCCAAGGGCTAGGATGACAGGTGCGCGCCCCACACGCCCCGCTGGGACCTCGTGATTTCCCCTGATCACGCTCATCTCGCCACGAGCAAGGCGGTCCCACGCCTGCCGGCCTCCCCACACCTTTCTGCCCGGCCTCTTCCAGCAGGTGGGCGGGACCGCTCCCCGTCGGGGCTGGGACTCCGTTAGTCCCGTTCTCCTGATCTGCACTCCCGACCTACAGAAAAGGTCGTGGGAAACAGCCCAGCCCTTGGACACTCCACCGAACCGGCTCCGCACCGCTCGAGACGCAAAGTTCTACGCGGCGCTCCCTTCGAACTCGGGACTCACACCGCCTTCCAACCATCGAACCCACAGCCTGTGGCCGTCCGCGTCCGTGCCTGACGGAGCTCGCCCAGCTCTTTTCCTTTTCATTTTCCACCGCACAGAGATTTAACACAGATACACGTATCAGTTAGTGTTCCAATAATTTAATGTATTCAAATCCGGCTTGACTTTTACAGCTTGTCCCGGTTTGTTTTTGAACAGGCCGATGCCTCGGACACCTACACGGGGTCCTGGAAGTGCCCGGTCTGTTTTTCCCTCTCCGGACACGCCTCTTCCTGGGGGCGGGGTCGTGGGTGAGCGCGGCCAACGGCGTCCCCGCCACTGCGCAGCCGCAGGAGGACGGTACCACGGCGCCTGCGACATGGGGGGGCGCGGAGGAGACGCCGGAAGTCGCGGTGGTACGGGTCGGCCTGAGGGGTACTCAGCGCCCGCAGCCTCTACCCGCGCGGCGGCCAGAGCCCAGGCCCGTGGGGGTGGGCGTGGCGGTCGCCGGAACACAACCCCGTCCGTTCGCTGTAGGCGCGGGGCGGCGCCGCCGCGTCGCTCGCCTTCACCAGCGGCCATGAGCGAGCGCCTCCGCCCCAGGTGAGCTAAGGGACCCACTCCCTCTCCCCGCGGCCCCTCGGCCGAGGATCCCTGCGCGATGGAGCCGAGGGGCGCACGAAGCCGGGGTGCTGCGAGGCCCCGTCTGCGTCGCTCTGCGGTCGGAGGAGGCGGGGAGAAGGTTGCGCCGCCTCTGACACCTGGACCCTGCGGGGAGCCAGAGAGGTGACTCTCTGGAATCCAGGTCTACTCCTCCTCCGTCTTTTTCTGGTTTGCTTCGACTTCTGCCCTTTCCACTTTGGAATGAGGTTTGTTCGGTCCTATAAGACAGACGGTGGACCTAAAGCTTTCCTGTCCTAAATTTAGGCGGGCGGTGGTGGCGGCGGGGTGTGGGGGGGATGGAAGGACTAACTGAGCTTGAAGAGGCCAGCCCCCCAAGAAGGCGCCTCCGAGGGGGACGGGACGCGACGGGGCGGGGAGATGCTGGCGCCCCAAGGTCAGGGGAAAGGCGGGGGTTGGGCTTAGCCCTGCAGACGGGAGGGCTTAGGGCAGGCAGCTCGCAGCTCTGTCTCCTGAGCTGTTGTTAACCCAGAAGGGCAGATGGACCCGGGAGGGTCGTGACCCACTCTCGGTAGTGACATTAACAGGCAGCATTCTAAACTGTCTGGCTGAGGAGCCGTTTGGCTTTGAGGCGGGAGGTGGAAAACATTGCGAGTTAAAGCTCGTTTGCCTCTCCCCTGAGCGTAGCCTCAGGCCCCATGCGGCCTCCGAGAGCTTTAGGCCCCCCACGCAGCTGAGGTTTCTTTTTCCCTTCTCATTTTCGTCTTCAAGAAGGTGGGAAGAAGTAAGTTGGGATGCCCTGCCTCAGAATGAAGAGGACCCGCATTATTTCTTATTAGAAAGTCACCTCTAACGACGGAGCTCGACGACCTGTACAAGTTTTACTTTCTGGTTTTTCTCATGAAGAACAGACTCAGCGTCGTTTAATTATTTAAGTTTATCCAGATTCACATCTCTTTATTCCATAGTAGTTTCAGGTGCATCATAGCATTGCTTTTTTTATTTTCTCTTTTAAAAAATTTTATTTACTTTTAGGTGTATGGGTGTTTTGCTTGCGTGTATATACATAGACCACACGTGTCCATAGAAACCAGAGGAGGGCATCGGATATCCTGGACCTAGAGCTGCAGTTGGATGTGAGCCAACATGTGGATGCTAGGAACCAGACCTCAGTCCCCTGCACCAGCAACAACTATTTTTCAGTCTTGAGCCATCTCCCCCAAGCCCTGTATCTTATTCCATGCATTCATTGGTTGTGAACGTAATCACTGTTTTCCAAGGCTTCTCCTTGAAATAGTTATTTCTTGGGATTGAACTCACCAACATCCTGAGCATATTTGGTCCAGTGTTGAAAATCTAGAGGTCCCTAGATTGAATTGAATTGTTGATTTTATGTAGAAATTGTGGCAGAAAGTCTGTACTTGTGTGAACAAGATGTTCAAGCTAAAGTGGAAATTATAAGGTGCCTATCAAAATTATCATCTGGTCTTTGGCATTGATGCAGTACCTAAAGGTTTAATCTTACTGATTGTGCAGATAGCATGAGGTCATAATCTTGCCAATTATTAAAGATGATTTATGGTCCAGCTACAGTCACCTCTTTAGGATTAGTAAGCCTGAGCTGACTGCCATTATTTGGATTCTCTTGGAAAGTCTCCCTCACCTGACAAACCCCAGTGTTTTCTACCAGGAATAGATTTGTTTGTTTGTTTGTTTGTTTTGGTTTTTGGTTTTTTTGAGACAGGGTTTCTCTTTGGCTTTGGAGCCTGTCCTGGAACTAGCTCTTGTAGACCAGGCTGGCCTTGAACCCAGAGATCCCCCCCCCCTCTGCCTCTGCTGGGATTAAAAGCGTGCACCACCACCGCCCAGCTAGATTTTTTTTCTATAGTTCTGTAAACTAGTAATCTGAGTTTGTACTGACTGTAGATTCTTTTATATAGTGCTGTAAGCTAGTAATCTGAGTTACTGACTGTAGATTCTTTTATATATCTAATTTACAGGAGTCGTAGTGTGTTTCTGTCTTCTGGTGACTTCTTTAAAATGAGCGCTTTGGTGAGGACAGATCTTTCTTGCCTACTTTTTCTCTTCACCCATGAGTTAGCTTGGCCAGCTACAGTGTCTTTATCTCCAAGGCAGTTCCTGTCTCTGAATCTGGTCCCTCAGTTAAAAGATGAAGAGCTGAGCTCAGACTTTTTTCAGACTTTGGCAGTCGACTGTGCAGGTTGTAGAATGGTGGGCATGTGGGTGGTAAGAAAGCCTGACTTACTACACAGCCCTAATTTTTACGTATGAATCGTGGGGAGAGATGCCCCACAGCAAGAAGTAAACTCTTTTAAAGAAACACGTGACATGAGGTGTAGTTACACTTGCTTTTGATCCCAGCCAGCACTCATAAGACAGAGAATCAATCTGTATTTGAGATCAACTTGATGTCCAGGCCAGCCAGGCTACATAGTGTGAGACCTTGTCTCAAAACAAACAAACAAACAGACACACAAAACCATTTGAGAGGCAGTTTCTGTACTCTGATTCCATCTGCCTAGGTTCTCCAGAGGACCAGCAAGATAGGACAGAAGAGAAATAAGGAAAGTGATGGAGTCCACCGTCCTTGGGGTAATAGATGTCCAACAGTTTTCTTTACCTAGGTGGAAAGGAGAGAATCTGATCAATTACAGGGCGCCTTAGTAATAAGGCGATTGAAAGCTGCTTCTAGTTATCTAATAACAGCCAAGAACAACGAAAATGGAGGATTCGTAGAGCTCATTCTTAACTCATTACTATCCAAAGGAGAGGACAACTCAAAGGCCCAAGAGATGGCACTTGTACCGTGAGAAAACTGACAGCTCTCTCACATGGCTTTCTCGGGGTAGATAGATGGGAACTAGAGAGCAGCCCTCCTAGTCTCGTTACCGGGAGGAAGCATGCCCTGCTACCGATGAGGACATAATAAATAGTTTTTGGTCAGGCTCATGAAGTCGGTGGGAGTGACTCAGCAGCCCCAGCATAGCCAGCTGTCGGCACACTGATAATCGACGTGTGGGCAGTCTACTGCCTCTGAGCTTTTCTTTGTCATGACTCCCAGCAAACATTGCTTTACTTTACATCCCCAAGTAAGTTGCCTGTTTTATAACATTTTCCATAATAAATTAGTCTTTTTTTTCCCCAGTGAAGCAGGAGTTCCTGTCTGTAGTCTTTGATAAATTTTATTCTTGATTTTTTTTTTCTTTGTATATGTTTGTTTATTGGGGGGGGGGGTTCACTGTGTAGCCCTGGTTGTCCTGGAAATCGTTCTATGTGGTTAACTGTGATTGTGCATGAAGATGTTAGGGATTGTGTGCTCCCACAGTATTTATGCTGGGCATGGCTACAGCAGCAGAAGCTGCAGGGCTGCAGCCAGCCTCTCGTGAATGCGCTAGTAGCACATTGGGTTGATGTGACTCAGCCTGTGAGGAAGTTAGCTTCAGTACTGAAGGCTGGTGTAAGAGCAGCAGGGGCTGGCATTAGACACATCTTGGGATGAGTGAGTCCTGGCACTCTGAGTGGTCCAGTGAGTGCTTGGTCATAGTTGAGCAGTGAGACTGGGAAGGTAGTAGGTGGCCTGTCCGAGTCTGGGGTAGCTGTGTGAAGTAAGCTGAAGGAGGTGCTGGCTGATGACAGGGTTGGGCACAGCCTGGTTTTGTTTTGTTGGCCATTCTCTGTATACTGGTGATGAGATGCGCCTGGCACTCTGTGCTGAGTCAAAGCTCCATATGGTGATCCAGTAGAGCTTCTGTAGCGAACAGACTGCTGCTCAGTGTAAGGAGATAAGGTCTCAGGATGTGGCCAGGCTGGCCTCAAATGTGCAGTGATTGTCCTGCCTCAGCTCCCTGCTTGCTGGCATTATAGGCATAGCCACTGTGCCTGGCAGTAATTAGATTTTTTTATTTTTAAATTAATTAATTTTGCTTTTTTTTTTGAGACAGACTTAGATTGCTGACCTGGAGCTCACTGTACAGAACAGGCCTTGAACTTGCAGTGATTCTCCTGCCTCTGCTTCCTGAATTCTGGGATTAGACATGCAAGCCATCATACCCAGCAGGATGTGGATTTTAAATTTTGTTTTATTTAAATTTAAATGGCCGCCGGGCAGTGGTGGCACACGCCTTTAATCCCAGCACTTGGGAGGCGGGCAGGCGGATCTCTGTGAGTTCGAGATCAGCCTGGTCTACAAGAACGAGTTCCAGGACAGGCTCCAAAACCACAGAGAAACCCTGTCTCGAAAAAGCAAAAAAAAAAAAAAAAAAAAAAAAAAAATTAAATGGCCACGTTATTAGTGGCTGTCATTTTGGGCAGGTTATCCCAGGCAGTTGGGGCTGGAGCTCTTCCTCCTTTGATTTATTCCTGTTTTCTAGTTTGGGATGAAAATCCTTCTGATGGCCCTAATTCTTGTAGATAGTTTAAATAAACAAATATTCTCTTATACTGACTGAACGCACTTGCTGGAGAAAGATGTGATTTATTCCCCCCCTTTTACCTGGCAGTTTTAACCAGAATATTCTGTCACTGAGTGACAGTCCAGCGCAGTGATGTAACGGTGATGGTGGTGTAGCCAAGCGTTTTCAGTGATGGCTCAGAAAAGAAACTGCCCCCCCACCCCCACCCCAGCAGGGCCTTAGGACCTCTCACCTCTGCATTCTGTGTGGCAGCATGTTGTGTGTATTTCAGGACAAACAGGCAGTCAGCATCCTCACTTCAGTGCTCCGTGGGGCAGGGAGTGGAGTGGGGTTAGAGTTATAATTTTAGGATTTGTGGCAAAGGAAATTGAGTTGGTACCCTCCTGTTTCTCTGTTCCCAGCAGGTGTTTGGAAACTAGTCTTTCTCTGTAAGGCTCGGCCTCACTAGCTCTCTCTGCTTAGTGTCCAGCATTGAAATATTAGAATTCTCCCACTGGGGTGTCGTGGTTGTAGTAGAACTCTTAAAATAACTAAAGCCATTTCTGACAACTCTGAGGCTTCTCAGCTATAGTGTCCCCCCCAACCAGGAATCTAACAATTAGTCTGTGTGAATGTTCTCCAGAAATTGGGGTATAGATAACCTTTAAGTTGTTGACCCAGTTCCTGATGTATGTGCCAGGTGGGAGGCCTCCTGGAGACTTGATTTCATTCAGCCCCTGGGAAAGGGGTCAACGTGATTCTTAGATGTTTTATCTTACCTGGCAACTGCTCTCCAGCCAATTATTGGTAATAGCCCTTTTGAATAAGCCAAACATAATAATCAAAGAACAACCCCCAGACACCCACCTTGCTTCTGTGGCTTTTTCCTTTAAAAGTAGCCTGTACCAGCTCTTTGGGGTTTTTCTGGCCTCCCAAATGCTGAAAGATCCTGTCATGACAGAATTAATAAAATCCTCATGCTTTTACATCAGCTGTGGTGTGAGAGGTGGTCTCTTGGGGTGACTCCTCCTCGGTGTTTGGACTCTAGGATCCAACAGTGGTAGATTAATTTTTTTAGCCTAGAGGGTGCATTTTTGTGTGTGTTGTTGTGGTTTATAATTGAAGTATCTGCAAGCTCCCTAACTGCTTATTTTTCTTCTTTGTGTTTAAATTTTAGGAAAAGGAGAAGAAATGGCAATGATGATGACAACCACCTACCACCCCAGACCAAAAGAAGCAGTAGGAACCCCATCTTCCAGGACTCCTGGGACACAGAGGTAGGCAGAATGACCGCAGGCTCAGCTGCATGACCTGGTCTCCATTGTATAATTGGAAGAAGTTCATTTTTCCAAGAACACCTCACCTGCCTTTACTTGCTTCTTTGCATCATTATGTTAAGGCAGAGTTTTGATGAGTAGCCCTGACTAGCCTGGAACACAAACCTGGTTGGCCTCAAGTTTGTGGCTGTTCTTTCCCTTAGTGCTGGGATTGCAGTTATGTGCTGGCACACTAGGCAACCTGTATTTCTACTTTTGAATCAAAGCCTCTTTGAGGAAGATAGGGACTGACTGTCTGTCCTGCCAGGTAAGCAGTGTGCACATGTTCATTTTCACCCACCCTTACCCCATTTATTTATAATCGTTTCTTGGACTTTGGAAGCCATCTTTGAATCCTCTAATTTTACATTTCCTGGTGATTTATGGGAGGCATATTTGTTACTTGCATTCAGTAGCAGCTCTAGATAGCAGAGTGTGTACATGGACCCCTTTTTTGTCTTGGGATTAAAGGCATGCACCGCCACCGCCCAGCCACAGATCCCTTGTTACAGGGTTTTTATTTTACATTATTTTTAAAAGAAAGGCCAAAAGAGGGTACCAGATCTCATCTGTGGGCCACTATGTGGTTTCTGGGAATTGAACTCAGAACCTCTAGAACAGCCAGTGCTCTTAACCGCTGTGCCATCTCTGTGCTAGAAACTGTTCTTCCACAAGGCTGTGAGGGGAGGAGAGTGAGGTAAAGGTGGGAAGCACACTCAAAGTTTTTTGCATTTTATGTTTTCCAGAAAGAGTACTCTGCTGTGGGGGATTTTTATTTTATTTTATTTTATTTTATTTTATTTTATTTTGTGAAGTTGGGGATTGATAATAGGACTCAAGGTTAAAGTGCTGTTGGTGAATCATGCTGCCTAAACATTCTGGCTCCTAACAGTTGTCATGCTACGGTGACAGACATCTGGGTTCTTAGACACTGAACACATCCTGCTGTATTTGGTTCCATTAACAGGGTTTGGCTCATATCTAGACTCTTAGCTAATAATCCAAAGTCACCAATGGGGGTACTGACATTCATGTTTTAGAACCAGCTAATAAACAAATCTAGAGTATGTTCTTGTCATGATTAGGCTTGAGTTCTGATAACATTTCTTTTAAAATCTTAGTTTACTTTTTTCTTCTTTAAAAAAGTGTTTAGCCTGTCTGGGGAGGGGTGGGGTAGGTGGATGACATACCCTTAGTCCCAGCACTCTTGAGGCAGAAGTAGGCGGATCTTGTGAGTTCGAGAACAGCCTGGTCTACAGAGTGAATTTGAGGACAGCCAGAACTACACGGAGAAACCCTGTCTCGAAAACAAAACAAAAAAGTCTTTAGGTGAAAAGAAGTTGAGGTTTGGTTGAATGGAATGATTGAGGAAATACTGGGGGTGACAGAAACCAGAGGCCAGAGTGTGCTGTGAACATCTTAGGTCAAAAAGTAGCGGCCATGGCTTGCCACCATCCTGTCTGTGGTTTTGATGCTTTAGAACAGGCTTAAAAATGTCATCTTTTTTAACCTAAAAATTTTGTTTCCTTTTTAAAAATTAAAAAAAATCTTTACTTATCTTCATTTGTGTGTGTCCTGGAGGTGGGCACTGTGGAGGGCAGAGGATAATGATGCATAGAGGCACTGGTTCTCAAATCCTTCCACCGTGTGGGAATCAAGTTGATTGTCAGACTTGGGCAATGTCTTTGCCTGCTGAACTGCCTCACTGGACTTGATTTTGTTGTCTGTCTTCTTTTTCTTTCTCCCTCCCTCCCTCCCTCCCTCCCTCCCTCCCTCCCTTCCTTCTTTCTTTCTTTCTTCAGGGTTTCTCTGTAGCTTTGGAGTCTGTCCTGGAACTAGCTCATAGACCAGGCTGGCCTCGAACTCACAGAGATTCACCTGCCTCTGCTTCCCGAGTGTTGGGATTAAAGGCATGCGCCACCTGGCTTTTCTTTTTCTTTCTTTTTTTAATTTTTAATTTAATAATTTTTTTTGGGGGGGGGGGAGGGGTTCAAGACTGGGTTTCTCTGTGTAGCCCTGGCTGGCCTCAAACTTACAGAGATTTCCTCCTCTCCACCTTTTTGTTGTTGTTGTGTTTGGGATGAGGGTGGATAGGATCTCTCCCTGTAGCTCTTGTTAGCAGGAACTTGCTGTGTAGACAAGGCTGGCCTTAAACTTGAAGAGATTCACCTGCCTTTGCCTCCCGAATGCTGGGGTTAAAGGTGTGTGCCACCATGCCAGGCTATGTTTTAATTGTAGTTTGTAGAAAATACCCTTGACTTAGTTTCTACCATCTATGCATTGGTGTTCCAGAAGATAATAGTGGCTTGTGACTTAATCTTTGGGTCCACATATCTTTCTTGTCCAGAGAAGTTTCACTGTTGAACTAGTCTGGAATCAATAGTCTGAAGTGTGGGCTAGCTGGTCCTCATTACAGTTTAAGGCCACGGTAACAACCTTTGTCTGCACCCATTGGCAAGCTCCCTCAACTTGGTATCTTAACTATTACTTTCAGTGTTGCTTGCTGGACACAGGCTGCTGTGCTGTGCTGAGCTTACTCAGTGCTGGGGTGATGAGTGAACAACAGGTGATCCGGAGAGTCAGAGGCTGGGGTCTTCTGAAGTGAGAAGTGAAGCCCAAGTAGTGACTGACTTCCCCACTGGAATAGGTTCTTTTGTTTGTAACTCTTTTCTGATAATTGTATATAAAAGAGAAGAATAAATTATTAATATTGTCAGTTGATGTAATAAATAAACTACTGGCTTAATACAAGTGTTAGTTAACCTTCTAATTCTGAGGCTGAGTCAGCAAGATATGCTTCCTTTAGGATGAGATAGCCCATTTCCTGGGGCTGGAGAGATGGCTCATTGGTTAAGAGGACTGGTTCAATTCCTAGCACTCAACAACTGTCTGTTACTTCAGTTCAAGGGGATCCAACACCCTCACACAGATATACAGGCAAAGTGCACATAAACAACACCAATGCACATAAAAACAAAACAGTCATTTCCGGGGCTATCTTGAAATACTAAAATAGTTTTAGAGTTCTTTATCTGGTAATGTTTTTCCATTTGTGAGACATTTGTTTAAAATCACTACCTCTAATCAACTTCTAAGACTTGCTCTTTTTTGCTACACATTACAGTTGGCCGTGCAGCATTTGTCTCATGCACCTGTTCCACTGGATCAGTTGTCTAAAGCTGGAGGTGGTGGACACCTCTCGCCTTGATGTTCTGAGTGAAGGGCAGTGAGACCTGACTTGGAGAGTTGCTCTGCCAGCAGGAGCTTTGCATTGTGTGCGCTTTCTTCCTTTCATTTTAATTAAGACTTTTCCCCACTCAGGTGGAGAAATTGGGCCACAGAAAAATAGCATAGTTGATAGGAGGCAGGGAAGGGGCGTATAGCCTGGCTTTAGGGCTGCTTGCCCTCAGCTGGTGTGAGCTGCTTTCAGAAGACATGCCAGCTCAGATGGGCTTTGCTAAGTATAGCCATGAGCAGCCAGACCCTAGGCTTCACTTCAGTTACAGCAGAATTCTATCATCTGGAAAGTTTTCCCAAAGTAGATGCTATGATATGTAGTATCTAGGGAAGTAGACAAGAAAAGGTGAAGAGATGAGTTATTGTTTGAGGACTTAAAAAACTTTAACTCCAGTGACTTAGAGTTAAGGACATGTAAGCCTTAGGATTCTCCTTTACCTGGCTTTCCTTCTGTGTGCATGGTGCATGCATGTATGCAGGTCAAAGACTGTGAGATTGGGGGTGGTCTGTTCCTCTGTTGCTTTCTACCTTGTTGCTAATTTTTAAAATTATTATTATTTGTATGCAATTATATTTGTGCGGGAGTGTATGTGTGTGTGTGTGTCACACTGCATGTTTGGAGGTCAGGGAACAATGTTGTGGTTCTTTCCTTCTTCCTTTACATGGACTCTGGGGATCAAACTCAGGTGGCCAGGCTTGCACAGCAAGTTCCTTCACCCACTGAACCATCTTGTTGTCCCTCCACCTTATATTTTGAGACAAGATCTCAGTGAATCTGTAGTTTTCCATTTTGGCTAGATTGGCTAGTCAGCCAGCCTTCAAGTTCCTCCTGTCTCCAACTCCCCAGTGTAGTCCCCTGGGGTTACAGATGCATTCCTTCCACTGCCAGTTTCATATGTGGGCTCTGGGGATACAAAGTTGAGTCTTCAGACTTGCGCAGCAGGCACTTTGCCAATTGAGTAATCTCTCCAGCCCCTGCCACTATTTTTAAATTAAAGTATAGTTTGCTAATGTAAGATTAATTTTTTTTAAGCAATTCTTAATGAACCCTGATAGTTAACACATAAGCCAGGCATGGCTCTTTGCTCAGTGAGCAAGACAGGAAGTGATTTATTAACTTGTATCTTCCTTTTGAGTCCTGTATAAAGGCAGCAGAATTCTCTCTTTACTCTTTCTTTTCCTTCCCTCCCTTCCTCTTTTTTAAAGTTTACCGATTGTATGAGAGTTTTACCTGCATGTATGTACATCACATGTGGCCCTATTGCCCCTGGGATCTGAAGAGGCATTGAGTTCCTTGGAACTGGAGTTTGAGTGGTTGTGAGTTGCCGTGGAGATGCTGGGAACTGGCCCCTTTGTCCCTTGTAAGAGTAACTCAGCAATGTTATTGAGCACCTTCTAAGGCTGGTAAAAACGGACTAGATTAGGCTATGTCTGTAATCCCACTACTTGAGAGGCTGAGGTAGGAGGCTCACCATTAATTCGAGACCAACCATAGGTTCTTGAATTACCATAGTAAGTTCTAGGCCAGCCTGGGTATAATGTAAAATCCTGTCTCAAAAGCAAACAAACAAAAAAACTGTAAAGTAGCTCACAGGAGCTACTCTGCTGGTTGAGTTATAGTTGAACACATGTAGGAGTTTTCAGAGGCAGGATGAGCACTGCTGTAACTGAGGAGAAGTAGCTGTTAGCTGACAGTGGGAATGTGTATTGTGTATATTTATTCA